ATGAATTACTATATGGGGGATGAATTACTATATGGGGGATGAATTACTATGGGGGATGAATTACTATGGGGGATGAATTACTATATGGGGGATGAATTACTATATGGGGGATGAATTACTATATGGGGGATGAATTAATATGGGGGATGAATTACTATATGGGGGGAATGAATTACTATGGGGGATGAATTACTATAGGGGGGATGAATTACTATATGGGGGATGAATTACTATGGGGGATGAATTACTATATGGGGGATGAATTACTATATGGGGGATGAATTACTATATGGGGGATGAATTACTATGGGGGATGAATTACTATATGGGGGATGAATTACTATATGGGGGATGAATTACTATATGGGGGATGAATTACTATATGGGGGATGAATTACTATATGGGGGATGAATTACTATGGGGGATGAATTACTATAGGGGGGATGAATTACTATATGGGGGATGAATTACTATGAGGGATGAATTACTATATGGGGGATGAATTACTATATGGGGGATGAATTACTATGGGGGATGAATTACTATATGGGGGATGAATTACTATATGGGGGATGAATTACTATGGGGGATGAATTACTATATGGGAGATGTATTTTCAGTTTTAAAAATGTGGCTCTCAAAATAAATTTCAATCGTGGTTTTGGCGAGATTTGGCTCAGTTGAAAAAAAAGGTTGCCCACCACTGACCGAGGTGAATGCAGCATCGATCACCTGCTGGCTGTCAAGGTGAGAACTGAGCAATCAAACATCGCTGCTCTCTGTTCTTGCCGCTCTGAGTAGAGAGTGGTGACTGCTCTTCTACCCCCCCCCCCAAACGCTCACTGGAGCTCTGGGCTCTGAAGGGGGTGGGTGCAACTGGCTCAGGCTCTCGGCGGCTGACTGAGAGTCTGAGCCAGGTGCCAGTCCAGGCTGCTGGGTGGATCCCAACCACCTGGTCGGGATCTTTCCCCAGCCTGGACCAGCTGAGTGATGTCAGCCGACAGCGGACCATATCCTACTGTTGGCTGAAAATGGCTCACGGGAGTGCAGAACAAACCGCAATCCTGTGATCCACAGACGTGCAGCCAAACAAGCTTTGGCTGTACTTCTCCTTTACAGCAGTATTAACCCTAGCAAGCATTTATTCTATTGCAGCTTACCAATTCTTAGATGTGATGGCTGCATTTGTTTTCTTTTTTAAGCGTTTCATCTAGTGATCCATCCAGTAAGTCTGTTTTTCAAAAGAACAAGCTCCCTTCCAGATGTATCAGTTTACAGGGTTGCAACAAACCATTTAACACTGGCAGGGCAGGGGTGCTTACAGTGATCAGCTTTTTATTCACAGAAAACCTTTATCCTTAAAGGAAAAAAAAACTGTGGTAACTGCTTATGAAGTGTTAGTTGGAGTTGAGCTTTAATTTGTTAGTGCATATAAATCTGCTAGTACATCTAACAGTCCTGCCCCCCTGCCCACCCCCGACTAACAATGCTACTGACTGTTGTGTCCCCTGTGCTCATACGCTCAGAGAGGGCACAGGAGGTGTGTTTCTCGCCAGATCACCAAGTGAAAACGGGATAAAAAAAAGAAAACTACTGCAGCCACTACTAATGATTGGTAAGCTGCAATATGTTATGTATTTGGTTTTGGGTTTAATACGCTTTTAATAATAAGAACATGTGAACATGTAAAAAAATGTGTTGATATGTGACTGATGTTTGTTTTAATAAAGTTTGCAATGTGTTGGTGTTTGTAGGGGAAGGCCCCAATAAATTGTGCTTGGCGTCTCTGCCTTCATGTAACCTGCATGTCTCCTAAAGCTTATAAATAGGAGAAAAGTGAAGTCACAGTTTGCAAACAAGAGTGTGTTGTCACAGTGCCGGGACTAATGTATTCCACTTCTCTGAAATCTGCTAAAATAATTTGAAGTGAAGGAGCGCTGTGACAGTGCTGGTTTTGTCCCTGGAAGACACCGCCATACAAATTCTAATGAGATAGTCCGCCGCTTTGTGCCTCTGTGGAGTTCCCCAGCTATTCCTTTTTTATATTTCTGCTCTTCTAGTGGAGACGGCTATTCATGACACTTCATAGGACTCCAGGGACAATACACAGTGCCACCACACAACGCCTACAGCTTTTATAGCTCGAGATGCTGACTTGGCCCCCGGCCAGCTCACAGTAACCATTAACAGCACTGTAAAGAGCAGCGCGTTGCACGGAATGTACACGGACATATAAAGATTGCTTATTTATGATTATTGCTTGTAGCGTGGATTCATTATACCCTGCTTACCATCGCTGCTTGTTTTACCATGATTATGCTGATCGAGAGATCACTGACCTAGGGCACCCCTACAGGCTTTATCAAGTAGTGCACTCAGTGTTGTTGATTTGACCATAAGGTCCCTAAAGCAAATGTTTTACTTGACATAAAAGTACTCTGAACAGTGTACAAGAGGAATTGGACCTAGAATGGGAAGTTATGCAGGACTAGGAGCGTAGAGGAAACAGGGAGGAGCATAGCAGTGTTACACGGGAACAGCATAGCAGGGAACAGGGAGGAGCACAGCAGTGTTACACGGGAACAGGGAGGAGCATAGCAGTGTTACACGGGAACAGAGGGGAGCGTTAGCAGTGTTAGCAGTGGGAACGGGAACAGGGAGGAGCGTAGCAGTGTTACACGGGAACAGAGGGGGGAGCGTAGCAGTGTTACACAGGAACAGGGGGAGCATAGCAGTGTTACACATAGCAGGGAACAGGGGAGGAGCATAGCAGTGTTACACGGGAACAGGGGGGAGCATAGCAGTGTTACACGGGAACAGAGGGGAGCGTAGCAGTGTTATACGGGAACAGAGGGGAGCGTAGCAACGTTGCACAGGAACAGGGAGGAGCGTAGCAACGTTGCACGGGAACAGGGAGGAGGAGCGTTAGCAGTGATACACGGGAACAGAGAGGGGCGTAGCAGTGTTACACGGGAACAGGGAGGAGCGTAGTGGATTTACACGGGAACAGAGGGGGAGCATAACGGTGTTACACAGGAAAAGGGAGGAGCATAGCAGTGTGAGGAGGGTCAGGGAAGAGCATGGTGGTGTGGGAAGGGCGGCGCTCAGCAGAGTAAAGCAGGAACAGAGCGGAACTCATCAGTGTGGGGAGGGTGTAGGGAGGAGCATGGTGGTGTGGGAAGGGCACAAGGAGGTGCATGGCAGATTAGAGAGCACAGGGAGGAGCATGAAGGTGTAGCATTGTAAAGCAGGAACTGGGCAGAGTTCAGCAGTGTGGGGACGGCGCAGAGTGGAACTTGTGGTGTGGGAATGGCACAGGGGAGCATAAAGGTGTGCGGCGAGCACAGGGAGGAGCATGGTGGTATGGGGGGAGGGCAAAGGGAGGAGCATGGCAGTATGGGGAGGGCAAAGGGATGAGCATGGCGGTGTAGGGAGGGCAAAGTGATGAGCATGGCGGCGGTGTAAGGAGGGCAAAGGGATGAGCATGGCGGTGTAGGGAGGGCAAAGGGAGGAGCATGGCGGTATGGGGAGGGCAAAGGGAGGAGCATGGCGGTATGGGGAGGAGGATGGCGGTGTGGGAAGGGCACAGGGAGGAGCATGGCGGTATGTGGAGAGCTCAGGGAAGAGCATGGTGGTGTGGGAAGGGCACCGGGAGGAGCATGGAAGTATGTGGAGAGCAAAGGGAGGAGCATGGCAGTGTGTGGCGAGCACAGGGAGGAGCATAATAGTATGGGAAGGACAAAGGGATGATCATGGCAGTATGGAGGGCACAGGGAGATGCATGATAATGTGAGGATGGCTCAGAGCAGAGCTCAGCAGTGTAAAGTGGGAACAGTGTGGACCTCAGTAGTGTGAGGCGGGCACATGGTGAGCTTGTCAATTTGGGATGAGTGGAGTTTAGCAGTGTGAATAGGGCACATGGAGGAGCTCGGCAGCGTGTGGTGGGCACATGGAGGAGCTCGGCAGCGTGTGGTGGGCACATGGAGGAGCTTGGCAGCGTGTGGTGGGCACATGGAGGAGCTTGGCAGCGTGTGGTGGGCACAGGGAGGAGCTTGGCAGCGTGTGGTGGGCACATGGAGGAGGTTGGCAGCGTGTGCTTGGTACAGGGAGGAGCTTGGCACAAGGAGGAGCTCGGCAGCGTGTGCTTGGTACAGGGAGGAGCTTGGCCCAAGGAGGAGCTCGGCAGCGTGTGCTTGGTACAGGGAGGAGCTTGGCCCAAGGAGAGCTCGGCAGCGTGTGCTTGGTACAGGGAGGAGCTTGGCACAAGGAGGAGATCGGCAGCGTGGCAGGTGCACAGGGAGGTAATAAGATGAACTGAGGCTCAGGCAGGACAGTGTGAGGTCGTCATCCTCCATGGAAGGCATTGTGGGATCACAAAATTTGCTGAGCAGAATTGAAGAATCACAAAGCACTGACTGACTTGTATTTACCTGAGTGGGAATATCCCTCATTGTCTTCCATTTTTACTTCATAAATGAGTTTTTTTAGGCCTACTGAGCATCTTAAAGCATTCTGTGTGCTCTCCTGTCTGTATCAGTGGTGGTAGGAATTGTCTTGATTCACTACATACAAAGTGTCTCCTGTGGTGACCAGCCAGGTATTATCTTCATTATTCAGCCCACACTACTAGAGAGATGACAGCTGGAATCGGGTTGCCGTAGGCGATAGACATTTTCTTCAGTTTCTAGCCTTCAGTATATTATCTCTGTTTGGCAATATGACATCTTTGCTGTTAATTTCATGCCCTTGGTATTTGATTGCTGAGCCATGTAATCCTCCTGGGCACTGTTGGTCTGTATTTAGCACTGTATCCAAGACTGATGGACCTCAGGGAAACAGATACATCATAAACCTATTTATTTCTATAGAAACTCATCCTTGGTTAGTTGTGTCCGATACGCAATGCTGAGCAGGGAGCAGGTAACTGTATGAGCAATGTCCCCGTCCTTTGCCTCTGGCCTTCCATCCTTTGTGCTTCACCATCTCTCTGTCTCTGCAGGTCGCCAGGCTTCTTATGCAGCACGGCTGTGATGTAAATCTGAGTGACAAGCAAGGCCGGACTCCCCTCATGGTCGCTGCATGTGAAGGCCATTGTGGGACCGTGGAGTTTCTTCTGTCCGAGGGTGAGAAACTGTCTCTAAAGTATAGAAATTGAAAGCTGAATTGCAGTACCATAAAATCTTTAATCAGCTGTAGAACTTAAGAGCCCCAGGGACAAATGGAACAATGAGATTTATTATAGAAGTAAAAATGGCCTCCTTAAAAAAAAAAAAAAAAAAAAATGATATACAGTACATAAAAACATTTTTATACAAACGTGTGTGTGTATATATACATAACATTTTTTACATTCTCAAATTAAACAGTTCGTAAATATCAATAGTATATCATGTCAAATATTGTATATTAAAGGCAAAAGAAAATCATGCGCTGCCATATAATGAGAATAATAATTGATGAGCTGCTGCAAACACGTGTTATGTGTGTAAAAAACAGTCTAAATCTAATGAAAGTGTCACACTGCTAGCATAAATCAATACATATAAATCTATGAACAAAAACGTGACTGATAGTCCCAAAAGATAAGTGAAATATCGTCCTGCTGGTGATTGCACCCAAAATCCCAGTGCTGTAAATCTTCAATACATGTGAATCACCACAGTGAACATGGACTTCCAGGTGGACACAGGTCAAACAAAGCATCCTGTATCCCTGGCAGTGATATCTTTTAGACCAGCCATAGACGGTTCCTATCTCAGCTGGTTCAAGCAGGGCCTGGCCAAGATTTGAACCTTGTATTGGCAAGCTAAATGTACCAAAGGTGATCGATCAATCAACTTGGGTACAACCAGCCTGTTGGAGTTTCGTGAGATTATTGCTATCTGCTGTTAGTCATTAGCGGTAATCACTGTGTTCTCCCAGCAGGGATGGCACTGAACACTGATTGTGTCGATGGGGGAATTGTGATTGCAGGATAGGAAATTGCTCCATCTATGGCCTGCTTTAATGCACATGCTAGGCCCTCCCAACCCTCTTGTCTTGCATTGTAACTACTGTCTTCCTTTATATAGTAAGGTGCGGCTCAGACTGCTGTAGCTGTATAATTCCTGTATGATAACAAAAATAATAACATCAAAGTTTCTGTGTCCTGGTGTTCTAATTCTGCTCCATTCTCTGCAATGTAAAGTATATGTAGCATGGAAACAGAATGCCATTCATTGTGGTTACAGCAAGTGGGAGGAGCTGGGAACAGATTTGCAGTATGAAAACCTGGAGTGCGCAACAGATTCTAAAACCTTTACATGCTGATATCCGGTCTAAACTGAAACATATCAACTTTGAGAGAGAGAGAGAGAGTTGCCCTTAAGATGTTTTATGTTTGGCCATCTTTTCACCACAATTATTGGTTAATGAGGTAGTTGTCAACTTTAAAAAATAATGTCCAGTGACACATTCCTAAGCCGCTCATTCACTATAATGAGGACAGTTGTCTGTTTGCAAAATGGTATAGTCCATGCAAACACATCAGCTGGGCTCCATGCCGACGGATAACAGATCAAATAATAATGTGGCACAAGGTCCAAGATGGTTTTCCATATGATTTTTAGGCCTGATGGACACAGGAGATTTTGTTTCCTCCCCTGAAAGCCTTTGCCCCAGGGGATGAAAAAAGTAGTGCTGTTGCCATGTTTTGAAAACACGTTTTGGCACATCAAGTGTCTGGGAGTTCATTCATTCCATTGGCCAGAATACTAATTCTGATCACTGAAATTAATAAACGCTCAAGCACTAAATGTGTGTTTTTTTTTTTTTTTCTCATCTGAATGCTCTGGCACTGGGTTTTTTATCTGCCTCGCCACACTCCTGCCTGTAAACATCTGTAGACACATATGTGTGCAATGTCACATAAACTATCATAGAGGGGCGTATAGAGGCAGAAAGAGTCAAACACCCTTTAAAGTGGTGTTTTTGAATCTGTGTTGCATGAGGCCTTCAAGTCTTTGCAAGAATCTTCCTGGAAAGTCAGCTTGGATTTGGTGTCACATTATTATTATTTGTGTTTACGTGTATATCCATTTCTAAAGGAGACTTTTCATGGGAAAGAATTAGGGATGCATCGAAATTTCGGTCACCAAAACATATTGGGCGAAAATAGCCGTATCAGCATTCTGCCGATAGGAAAAATTTAGCCGATACAGAGGACTGTGTGTACTGCAGATGTGAGGGGAGGGGGGCTGCAGAGAAAGGCAGGAGAGGAGCAGTGTATACAGTTACTGGCTGTCACTATATGTCCAGTTCCAGTTTTTAAATGTAATTACCGGCTTTTTTTTTTCCTTCACTATAGATCACAGAATTAGCTGTCACTTTCCCCCCAGCTAAAAGAAACAAAGTTTCCTTTCAGTTTCTTTCCCGAGATAAAAGAAACAAAAGTTTCATTTAGCTCCGGGGAAAGTGACCGCTAATTCTGTGTGCTATAGAGAAGAAAAAAAACCCAGGAAATTGCATTTTAAAATCGGCAACAATATATAGTGAGGGAGCCTCTCTGTATACACTGCTCCCTCTCTGTATACACTGCTCCCTCTCTGTATACACTGCCCCCTCACTGTATACACTGCTCTCCTGCCCCCCCCTCCACTGCTCCTCTCCCCACCCCCTCCCCCCATACAAAGAGGACCTGTCACTTATGCTATCACACAGGTGACTATTGGTCACCTATGTGATGGCAATAAAATAATAAGTTAAAAAAAATAAATACAAATATACATGAAAAATACAAAAAGAAATTGGAGCCTCCCCACCCCCACATACGCAGACATTTCGGATTCGGTTCAGTTTTTGGCCACATGCATTCTGAATTTTCGGTATTGGTTTCGGCACCAGAATTTTCATTTCAGTGCACCACTAGAAAGAATGGGTGCTGCCTTTGTTGACTTTGTGCTGAAAGTGATAGTTGCCTGCTTGTTATGCTCAGTATTTGAGGCTCTGACCAAAAATAATTATGTACACTGCAGACTTGCTCTGGGTCAATGCCTTAAAGTGCTGAGGTAATAGAGCTAGCATGACAATCCATAAACTAGCATTTTCAGTTGCAGGAGACAACAATTCATGCCAGACTGCTTTTCATGTCTTTGTCCCAACAGGTTTCCCAAGCATGAAGGAATCTTCAAAGCATGTGCTGTCCTCGGAAACCTAGTTTTTCTAGATCTCTGCCAGTGAAGTTGATGACAGTAAGGGTAAATGTGACATCATCTATGTAACAGTTTGTTTTTTTTTCCCCTTTCTTAGCGCGCAGACATTGCTGCAGTGGACAAGGAAGGGTTAACTGCCTTGAGCTGGGCCTGCCTCAAGGGCCACAGAGCCGTGGTCCAGTGCCTCGTAGAAAGAGGCTCCAGCATTGACCAGATGGACAGAAATGGCCGCACACCTTTGGACTTGGCTGCCTTCTACGGAGACTCTGAAATTGTACGTTGAATTGCTAAATATTTAAACGATGTAGATATGTAGAAAGGTTCACTTGATATATCATCCTTCCAGCAATGTTTAAGCAATCTTCTTGTGTTATAAACACTGGGCCGCTGCTACTGAAATTCATTTCTAATCTTCTATTTACATAGTGTACGGCTGCCAGCCGCTATATTCCTGCTGTAATAGGTTCCATGGCATTATAGATGCACGCTGTGCATTATGGAGAGGCCTCCCCCTTCCCGCGCGTTTGTATAGAGCAGGATAAGTATAGTGTTCTCTTCATAGAAGTTTATCTTTGCTGACCAGTGATGGGGGAGCAGCAGATACTATGCAGAAGACTAAATTCCCTGTGCTGACATCACACATACACAGCTCCGAGTAATCAGGACAGTATTAAGCCCTCCTTCGCTGTTGTTGGCACGAACAGGTGATAAGGAGTGGAATTTTCATCGGCTTTTCATAAATCTAGACTAGAGATATTTTGCTTGCTGCATGGTTTGCTGGATATTGGTCTTAACCTTTCATTTGATGCCAACAACAGACATCCTGGACAAATCCCAGTAGCTGCAGGTCTTGAGAAAATTGCTGTTTACATCTGTTTGGGTTACTCTTCGCTTGTATCAATTCCTTTTTTTTTTCTTGCCTTAAAAAGTCAGTCCACTAAAAATATTTTAGATGTGGGTGGATGGTGGTTGATTGACTCAGCTGCTGGCCTCTTCTCCTGCAGACTGAGACTTTTTAGTAGAAGAATGGCGAGTGGAAATGTATGGTCTGCTTTTTTAACTGACAGGTGATGGAGGGGGGCAGGGTGGTTCAGAATGTAGAGCAAAACTGTCTTCTGGTGTGGGCACCATTCTTTGGATGCGGGGTCCTCACATGAGCCACATTTTAGTAGACCTTCACATAATGCAGAGTGTAGGAACCATGAAGGGTGAACTTGGGTCAATCAGTGGAGGAATAGAGCATTTACAGCATAAGTTTATGAAATGCCAGACATTTTTTTTTTTTTTTTTTTTTTTACAAAGACTAAGGCTCCAGTCACAGTTACACGACTCCAAAGTTGTGTGACTTTGAAGTGCAACTTTGGCGCAATTTTGGTGTGTGCAACTTGGGTGTAACTTGTCCTTCTGCAAAGTCAGACCCACTGTTGCACCACTGTTGCATGTTAAACATTAAGGTACAACTTTCATGCAACTTTTGAGGATTAACATTGAAGTCTTTGACATTGATCTTCAAGTTGCATGAAAGTTGGACCAAAGTAGTGCATGAACTGCTTTGCAGTCTCTGCATATATGAATGGTTATCATTGGAAAACATGGGGCAAAATTTGTCATATGACTTTGATGTCCATGTGAATAGGGTCTAAAACCTATTACACACGAGAAAATCGGACGAAAAATACCGCTTTTGGAGCGATTGTCCGACAATCTGATAATAACATTTATCGAGAGCCGATCACGATAGTTCATACAAAATTATCCGAAGTAACAAGCATGAAGATTTTTCTTGTATGATACCAGAACTAATGATTTTTGTTTAATTAGTACAGTATTTGTACGAAAAAAAAAAAATCAGATGACCAAGAACATGCATGCTCAAAAAATATACAATACATTACATCACATCCAAAGTTGTATTTTGTTGTATCAGAATTTTCATAAAATTAGTAACCTTCATTTTCGATATGACTAGCATGCAAAAAAAAATTTAAAAAAATGGACGATCATTCATCTGATATTCTCATCATGTGTGTGAGGATTTAGGAAACCCTGTCAGGTTGTATTTATTGTGTCTTGTAAGGAAGGTTTCACTTTCGGTCTCAGAGACACAGCAAGAGGAGATCTTTCAAAGCAAGGAGATACTCTTCTTAGAAAGTTTTCACTATAACAGATATCCCCATTGGAAGATTTCTTCTTGCTTTCTATTCCTGTGGCAACTCAAATATTTTGGATTTTTCATCAGTTTCTGTTATGAAGACTAAGGTCACCAGGTAAAACTGGGAGGCCGTATCTCCCCACCATGGACACAGACAGTCGTAAAAACCTGTCAGAAAGCCTTCCTTATTCTATCTGGAACTGGAATAAAAGATGTTTGGCGTTTTTCTTTCTGTGGAGTGGAGTGTGGGGATCTTTTGACATCTGTTTTTCATGACTCTGAACATGGAAGTATATTTAATAATCATTCAAAATTAGGAATACTAAAGCTGTCTCTCAGATTACAATCGAATTGTCCAATCTCCAAGTTTTCCTAATTAAGTATGGATTATTTTGGTAGACCTGTTACACCTCATTGAATTGTTTGGGTAGGTTCTGGCATTATAATAGTTCTAAATCTAAAGGAAATTTCAAAGAGGTTGAACTATCAGACTGTAATGTGTGTGGCCAGATTTACATAGATTTCCAGTTCCTTGTAAACAATACCATATACTGTATAGCAACATACTGCCTGCCCAGATATATTAGAATGGCTTTGTTTAATGTATGTGATGTTGAAGTCTTTTTCTGATGATCTTCCTCTCTGTGTAGGTGCAGTATCTGGTCGATAATGGTGCTATGATTGAACATGTTGACTATAGTGGAATGCGTCCACTTGATCGAGCCATAGGATGCCGAAATACAGCCGTAGTTGTGACTCTGCTGAGAAAAGGGGCCAAACTAGGTAATTATTACTTACACCAGCGTAGCACAGAAGCAAGAAATCTTAAAGTCCATGTTATATGGACTTCCCTGCCAGCGGAACACAAAGATTACTGCTGGCAGCTATAGTTTTCATCAGTGATCAAATGCAAAAATCCAACAGGCTGGTTGTTCTGAAGTTGACTGATTGAGTTCAGTACAATCAAGCCCGCCCCTAGATGAATCGAACATCAGATGGTTCCTGCTGAACTGCCCAAGATTTGATCCATCTATGGCCGGCTTTAGACACCACACATAAGCTGAAGATTGACATTATGATTGCAGTGGGAATGTCTGCTCTGTGGGTTGATGTGCAGGACATAAAGGTACTTAAATATGAGAGAGAGAGCTGAAGTGGAGTGTCACAAGTTGTACAAAATGAAGGCAGTTGGCAGAGCAATGGTATGTTGTCTGCAGGACTATATTCTGTAAAAAGTATCCCCCCCCCCCCCCACCTCCTGTACTCAGCCATAAAGCACAGTAAGGGTGTCAAAGACTTTAAGCCGGCCATAGATGGAGCATGGACTGGCCAAGATTTGATCTATCTATGGGCAGGCTGATTGTACCCAAATCGATCCTTCAGTTGACTTGGGTACAACCAGTATGTTGGATTTTTAGAATGAGATTATTGCCAGCTGCTATAGCGGCTCCCCAGACCCCCCCCCCCAGGGGGAGAACACCATAGCTCTGCGGGAGGAATTCCCACATCAATACTGACTGTGTTGATGGGGGAATTGCAGGAATTTCTTTCCTGCAACCCGTGGTTGTAGGAAAGAAAATTGCATAATCTGTTGCCTGCCTTACTCATTCATTTACAAAGCTTTTTATCAGAAAATATAGGTCCACTATATGTTTCATCTGTGTTATTTCAGGAGTGCTTGAAATGTTCTAATTCCTGACCTACAGAAAAATACTAGTTCTTCAGTGTACAGCTGTATATAACTATAGTAATGTGGTTGCAGGCATAGTGCAGCAAAATAATTATGTCCGATCACCATTTGTAATGATATGTTTAATGACACAAAGTGTCACTTGGAGGAAGCTGAAGTCATTTTCCTGTCCTGCTGTCTTATTGTGTCAGAGACATCTGTTGAATCTCGCTCTGAACTCAAGGAAGCGACAATCGTTCTGCTGACACATGATTTATATGTAAAGTAATGGTACTGAGGTCACTGCATGGTACGCTCACTACTCTCAGACCTGGGACTATTATTGTTTGTGTAGTTTAAATGGACACTGCTATCAAAAATAGGACACAACATAAAATGTAATGTATACATAGCAGAAAAGTCACTCTGTGAAGTCAGCTTTGATAAATATCTGTCCTTCAAAATTGACTGTATGGGGGCTCTTTAAAGAAAAACATCTCAGAATTAGTTTTAATGCAATGCTGCCACCAAAATAGAAATAGTGAAAATGTGCCCCATATAGAAGGTATTCTATACTTCTCTTTACCGCTGCCTGCACCGCCATTCGAAGATGTATGGAAGAGATGCATAGAGTGGGCTGTTCAGAACATTGTTTCATTTACATTGTGAAATCAAGTCTAAATCTAACATTACCAGTGTTGAGGTGGATCTGTTGTTAGGTGAGTCTATATTTAATTGTATGAACCTCTGTGGCAGCACCTTCCATAATAACCAGTCCATATTAAGACAACCGATTTCCAGCAAGACCTTGTATTTCAAACAGCCCTCTCCTATGTTAAAGCTGGATCTCCTTGACCACCACTCTGTGATTATTTCAGTTACGCAAATAACATTTTCTATGTTTGAAGACCTTTTTTTTAACTTCTTTCTCAGGAAACGCAGCTTGGGCAATGGCAACTTCTAAACCAGACATCCTGATCATTCTGCTGCAAAAGTTAATGGATGAAGGCAATATCTTGTACAGAGTAAGCTCATTATCTTTTTTTTTTTTTGTTTTGTGACCTATACATGCATCATATGGGTATTCCTATACATGTAAAAATTAACACAATTGATGACTTTTCTGCAAATTGCAGATATCTCTTGTAAAGAAAGCCCAGACATTCACCACATCTGTTTTCATGAGTCAGCATGCAAGCAGCCATTTTGTAGGTGGAGCAAGCATTCCTAAAAATGCAGGCCCTTCATTAAAAACCTCTTGAAAGAAAATCTAGCTCCTGTATACCCAGAACCTCCCTACTTTGTAAATCAACCCACACTTGCTTAGTTTTTAATCTTTAGGTTGGGTTTTGATGGAAATACAATTCTTGTCAGAGTTGTGGGAAATTTCTCTTCCCTTTCTCTCCCTGTGATACTGTGAAAAGAATTAAGAGGAACTGCTGTCATTGGAACAGGAATAAACAGCAGTAACAACTTGATGGTCTGTAATCTTTCCAGACTCCACTAAAAAGGGATTGTTTGTTTAGTCTCTGTCCCCACTGACACTCTGGGAGGAATTTACAAAGAGTAATGCAAGTACTGTGCTTGCACCACTCTTCTGCACATACAAAATGGAGCAGAGGCTGCTCCTAATTAACAAGAGTTAAGAGGAGCACAGTTCTCTGTTCCACGGTGTCTGACAGACATGACACAGAGAACTTGAGAGCTGGAGCTGCATGCTTTGATCTCTCTGCCCATCCCTGCTCTGTGTTCAGCTCAGAACGGGAGGGAGGAGACTCTGCTTGTACGGCAGGCCATACTTGGCCGGAATCTGAGGCAGTTTTCTATATGGAAAACTACCGTATTCCCTCTGTCAGGTGCAGACCTGTAATACTTTCTATTTCACTCGGAAATAGAAACTGGGGCAGGTGCACAGATAGACTTAAACAGTTAATGTGGTGCACACCACTCCCAGCAGGTTCCTGTACCATTATAATGGTCCTGTCTGTTTCTGGGGCAGGAAGTAAGGAAACCTTTTCCCCAGTAGTGAGCGTGGCACTAAACCTTCCCCACTTGGTCCAAAACTAGTAAAAATGATAGTTGAAGCTGAGTTGTAAGCACAGGCAGCCTTTGTAGAGAAGTGCATAATTTGCTCTGCAGTAGACTGTAGAAAAGTTCGGTCACATACAGGTGTTGCCAGGAGCAAATGTTCCATGTTGCATTTTGGTCCAGGTTAGAAAATGTTACCTCTGCTGCACTGATTGTTGGTCTTTTTCCTATAGAAGGGGAAGATGAAAGAGGCTGCGCAGAGGTACCAGTACGCTCTGAGAAAGTTTCCCCGGGAGGGCTTTGGAGAAGAAATGAAAGCCTTTAATGAGCTGCGTGTTTCCCTTTACTTGAACTTATCCAGATGCCGCCGAAAAACAAATGTAAGTAGAGTACACTGCAAGTTTCCCGAAGAAAGGCTTGATGTTTATATTCTGCTTCCCTCCCACTCTGGTTATTGCAACCAAATGCCATGTACTAAGGGTATGGGGAGCATGTGACCAACTTCCCTTCCAGATATCGAATGCTCAGTTCCTGAATCATTGCCAAGCATTGTCACACAGAGGCAGGAGACAAAAATAAAAGTCTTCTGTAAGCTCTGACACTGAGCTTATACATGGCTCATTTCTCAGGTTTCTGGAAAGCAAATTGGGTGACAGAGTAGGAAGGCAAACATTGTAACATCAGGAGAAGTAGGGCTATCAAGATAGAGTGCCAGTCTACCCTGGAGAAAGCGATGGATTGACTTTGAGTATGTTGGAGCTGCTAATCTAAAATGTTATCCATACAGTAAAACCATGGGTTAAGGTACCAATGCACATGCCATCCAATCTGTTTCAGATTTGTCCATCCACAGTGATGGGCAGACCTGATCATCCTAAACATGTGGCTCCTAAGCTGAATTTACAGGTCATATGGTTACAGGTCGCAATGTCAGTGATTGCACAAGGACAGAGTATATATACATGTAATGCAGCTATCTTCAGACCGCATTCCTCATTGGCTGTGTTGATATCCAAGAGGGTATCTGTTGGAGACAGCCCAGTACATCTGCACAGATGGCAATTAATTTGGGAATAGCTGGAAGGGTCATTTTTCCACTACCAGCAAAGCCACGTCGTCTTTATATTAAGCGGGGTTGTACTAATGTAGTTCTCTGGAAGGGCAGGTGAAGGTCATGTTGCTTGTTTTTCAGGTGGATGTAGGTACAGACCCTCCTCGTTCACAGGATCCCTCACCTAGTGTTTGTGGTATGAAAGGGCCTCAGGTACAGTATCCTTGTACCCCAAAGTTTGATACTTGCAGTGTTGAATTTGGCAATTGCAGTGACATACTTCTAACTCTTCCTGCACTAACATGTTTTTATATATAATCTGAGAATAACATTGCCTGGAAATGAACGTGTTTGGACCCAGAATGTGAAGTACAGTCTGTCAAGTTTTATCATCTGTTCCCCTGTATAGGACTTTGGCATGGCTGAAGAGCTTGCAAGCAAGGCGCTGGAGCTGAAACCAAAGTGCTATGAAGCTTATTACGCCAGGGCAAGAGCTAAGAGGAACAGCAGGTAAGGCAGCTTTCCTTGTTTAGAGTGAAACTCCAGTTCTCTTCATGTGAACTATATTCATTGCAGCAATTTTAGAAAACACTTGCAGATTTTTACATAGTCCTGTTTTGGACATAATGATGTGAGCAGAGCTTTTATCAAACATCGCTATCACCGCCTGACCAGCCTCCATGTTATAAGAAGATCAATAACCTCTGAATCTCTTAAAGGTGGCCATAGATGAATTGAAATTTGGCTGGTTCAGCAGGGATCAGCTGGTTCAGCAGGGATCGGCTGAATTTCGATACATGCGTGGCTACTGACGCTCAACAGAAGTAAATCTATCAGGTGACTTCTTTTGAATGAACCTGTTGGGAAAAAAAGCTGCTCGATCAGCAGCTGCAGCCAAAGGCAGCAGTCCTCCTGCTGTCCAGAATATATTAGCACAGTGAGGAGGATGCCTGCATCCACCTTGATTTGGTAGATGGGGAATCTGTTCAGTTTTTTCCATTCAGCCTGAACAAAAAAACAGCCTGAACCATCTGTGGACAGCTTAACTCTGCAAGACTCTGAAAGTATCTCATAAAAGATCAAATACTTATTACAGGGGATATGTGTAATTTTACTTAAAGCTCTGAGTGTGTTCAGTAAACAGAATAGCCCATCTGCTGGTTGTATGGCGACATTTACATTTTTTGACTGTTTTAGAAATTGTTTCTGTCTGAAGAATGAAATGGAAAGGATATTTTTAATGAAATTAATAAATGACTTTGTAGCCATTTATTACATTTAGTCAGCAATTACTATTTTATATATAATTACTATTTATATATATTGGGGTAAGCCAGGATACTAAAGTATTTGTGCACCAAAAAGTGAAACATAAGTATAGGTGGAACTTAGTGGACAGAGTCATGTGACAGCTTCCTTCTCTTGGGCACTTTAGAGGTGTGATTCCCTGACATTTCTCCTGCTTCTGCACCAGCCTACCTTGGATCTTTAAAAAAAAAAAAAAAAGCCATTGCTGACCTCTAGGTCTCTGGCTGTTATAGTGCTGCAGTAGCTTTAATACTTTGAATTGACCAGGAACAAATATTAAGAGGGGCAGCACTGTCTTCACTAGCTGCATGCTTGTTCTGTAACAACAACTCACACTGGTACTCCTGCATTTAGCTTTTGTAAATGCAGGAGAAGATATCTGGGAAGTACAAACAATGTTTGAGCTTTATGCATAGGGCCATACAGGGACCACACGGCATGCACAGCATGTAAGGTATACAGCTGCACATTGAGAGGACATAGAAGATGCAGCTGCATAAAGCATGCACATGGTCCTATGTTCTGAATGCACACTATCTGCATTTGGAGCATATGTCCATGCATGTGAGGTGATGGGCACAACCCTGGCATGTAACCGAGTACAGCTGCATCTTCTTTTTCATCTCAATGAGCAGCTGTTCACTGCAGCTATGGGTTCCTTTAAGGTCCGTGTATATGAAGCCTCTCTTTTCTACATTTACATCTTTTAGGTGCATTTAGAATAGTTTGATCACATTTAGATGGATTTAGAGTTCCCAGTCAGATCCTGGATGTGCAAAATTCTCTTTTTTTCTAAATGCAGCTAAACCGAGTGCACCTAAACATAAGTTGACGCACAGAGTGAATGCACCAATGAAAATCACTGCATGCATTTATACAAGTATATGAGTGTCCTCTAAACACAGCTTTGACATTGCAGTGTGAATGAGGCTAAATGAATGACCCCAGAGGCACCCAGACAACTAGTTTTTTTAGTAGAAGGTCAGCAGCAGTGGGTACTCTCAGTAAAAAGGTTTTCCTTAGGGCCATTTACGTTTTTGTGTGTTGTGGTAAAACAGCCCATTTTGAAAAAGGCTGGCAACGCACCCTAGAGTGTCAGTATTTGGACATGATACTTTTCTTTTCGGTAAGGCAATGCACTATAACACAGGTTCATTGGAGTCTTATTCAAAATAAATGGCATGGCTTCACACCAATGCAGGTAATGCTCATCCCAGTGCACTGTACACCAAAACAAAAGTGTGATTCATCCTAACCTAAGCAGGAGAGCAGAGGTCTTTCATGATGGTTCCTGCAGGAGTGTAGATCCTAGAGCTCGAGAGAGAGGTATTCCTGAGAGAGAATAACCAATTGGCCAATAAGCCAATATATTTTAGTTCTTGTGTATTAGGAATGTAAGGGGGCGGGGGCTTAGGGCCAATCTCTGATAATACTTACAACAGCCAAGCATACGGCTGGCTTTATGAAGCTACTGCAGGTATGTTCAGTCACCTCTAGATGCCTTCACTTCATACCTGCAGCAGCTTTTCTCTTTTTGGTCTAATGTCAGTGTGTCTTTAAGTCAGGGCTTGAGGGCTTTGACTCTAGGAGCCAGCTAAAAAAGTTGGAAGACAATTTTTTTGTTTTTAGCGTAGCAAGGGTTGTCAGTGCCCGTGACTTCACACGAAAATCACTGCAAATCCGCACCACGTTTTAAGCACCATTGAAAATAATGAAACCTGAACCTGCCTTTTGTAATCAAAGTGATTCTGCTGTGATCCCAAAACGCCCAGGTGTGAATGGAGCAAATCCTGGTTCTCACACATGCGATTTTGTATTCATCAGTTTCGCATGACAGGCTAGATATTTTGTATTCCAATTGAGGTTAGATGTGATCCACACACATTGTGTTTCGAGTGCCACTATGAAAAGGGTCTTATGCGAGTTTGTTACAGTGCATTCCAGTGATAGAGTGGCATGTGGAGATAAGTGTTCACATAGGATTGCTATTGACAGGAGTTTTCACATTGAAGTCTATGGGAGGCACTTTTGCATTGAAGTCTAAGGGGCGCGACTTCCCATTGAAGTCTAGGGGAGGCCGTGTGTGAACCCAGATGCCAGGACGCAATTTCTAATTGCCATGGTGACCTGGAGTTTGCCGAGCTCTGCTTTAAGTGTTTTTAACCACTTGCTGACCACAGATAGCCGAATGACGGCTTCACTGCGACCAGCCAGTTCTGGGTGGGCGTCATATGACGTCCTCCCAGAACGTGCTCTCCTGCACGCCCCCCGCCGATCTCCGTGATCGCTGTGTCCTACGGCCACAGCTGATCACGTGGTATGGTAAAAGGCGAATCACAGCAGCCTTTTTCCCACATGATCAGCCGTGTCCAATGACACACTGATCACCGGGAAATGCAATTGCCGGTTATCGGCTACACTTTCCTCACGCTGTCACAGCGTGAGGAAAGTACTGCCGAGAACCGTCAGTTATCAGAGGAGGGATCGGCACCGGTCATCAGGGCACTGATGACCAGTGCCCAGCAGTGCCGCCAGTCAGTGCCCATCAGCAATGCCAGCTTATCAGTGCAGCCTCAACAACACACATCAGTGAAGGAGAAAAATTACCTGTATGCAAAATTTTTATAATAGAAACAAAAAAAAATTATTTTTTGCACATTTTTTGCTTTTTTGTTTATAGTACAAAAAATAAAACACTCAGCGGAGAGTACATATCACCAAAAGAAAGCTCTATTTGTGTGAAAAAATGATAAAAATTTCATATGTGTACAGTGTTGCATGACCGCGCAGTTGTCATTCAAAGTGCGACAGCGCTGAAAGTTGAAAATTGGCCTGGGCAGTAAGGAGGTATAACTGCCCGGTAGGCAAGTGGTTAAGAAAGACCAATGTAAAGAAAATCAAGCTATGGTTCGACCTTGCACTGTTATTGTGACTGCACGGTTCATACCTGTATCAGTCTGGCCCTCAGCTAGGCTTGTGTATGGTTATTCTTTTTTGCTCCGGCACCAAAAAAATAATCACAAAGTACTTTTCATCAGTTCAATGTTATTGTATGTTTATGTAGCCTGGGTAATTTTGCAGACTTTTCTAAATAGAAACAAGTTAAAAGTGAATGGAACTAAATGATGACAGCAAACCATTGTTCAATTTATCTAATCTGCTTTCATCATGAAAATGACTCCTCTTGATGGGAATTGTTTGTTGTAGAAGAAAAGGTCTTATTGTACAAATGACTCCCTTGTGTCTTTATATCAATAATTCATGTGTTATTGTTTTCCATTTACACAGGCAGTTTGTTGCAGCTCTTGCTGATCTAAATGAGGCTCTGAAATTGTGCCCCAACAACCAGGAAATAAAACGACTTCTAGCCCGTGTAGAAGATGAGTTCAAACAGCATCAAAAGAGCCAACAGCAGAAACAGAGCCAGCCTCCTCCTCCACCAAGCAACGACTCTGACCAAGAGGATGAAGCTCTGGAAGAAACACTGGACAATCATCTGAGCCTTGAGGAGATCCAAGAGGATGATAGTCCCTCTTCAGACAAGCTCCCAGCCAACACAAAGCCACTGGATGTACCAAACAACCACAGAGCTGTGGAATACATTAACCAGAAATTCCATTCTGAATCTTCTGAGGAACATCCAGGAAAAAACATATGCCTGCAACAAGCTCTGGTGCAAAGGCCAACAAAGCAGGCACAGATAGTTAAAACCAACCAGCACATGAATTCCTTGCAATCTCTGTCTAGATCTACCAATAGTTTTTCTGCCCTGAAAAACCAGGCTTCTTCTACTTTAGCACCTCCAAGCCCTCTGCCTCTGAGACCATCATCTAACCAAGCCAGTATGAGAGGTCCAAATGTAGATGGGACACATCCTGTTTCTTCTGGAGCTCATGGTCCTGCTTACACTGAAAAGGTTCCATCAGGACATGCCATCCACAGGCAGCCCAGTGATATTGTGCAGTCCTATAAGGCTTCAGGTTCCTTTGTTTCTAAAACAGCAGAAAGGTTACTGGGGTTTCCTGGAGCCCAAGAAAATCATTTCTGTGTAACGAAAAACCAGTAGCAGTAACAGAAAGCAAAAGAATAGCATCCCACAGTTTGACCTCAAGCAGTAGCTTTTCTGAAGGTGTTAAAGGGCCTGATGTGCGCAGCAAAGAAAATAAGCCCAACCAAACTGTAAATGCATCAGCTGACCACAGACCACGAAACATACCCTTCATGGGGATCATGGACAAAACCTCCAGATCCTTGCAGCAGAATGTTCCGTCTGCTCGTAGTTGGCAAAACCAAACAGTAGACTTAAACCCAAATCCTCCTGGCACTGGGTCATCTGCAGGTTTTGAGAAGTTCACTCCTAGGCAGGCAACCAGCTATAGCAATCAAAATAAGACCATGCCAAACGTATATGGAGGCAATACTCACAACGGTGTATACTCAAAGGACTTTGAGGATGGAAAGTGTCTAACGTCCAGCCTCTCTCAAGATTCTAAGGCTGTTGCCCAGTCATACCAAGAGGCAATGTTAAGGTCACAATCTATTTTGGCAAAAGACAATAATTTAGGCTCACTGTCCTCTACGAAACCAAAGCGATCATTCATAGAGTCAAATGTGTAACAAGCACAATGTTTTGGAGTGTTTTTTTTTTTTTTTTTTCTTTAAGACTATTACTAGAGCACTAAAGGTCATGTTGCTTTTTGGAAACTACTCCCACCTCTTTCAATGGTTCCTGGGACCTACTAATGTTTACTTCTCTTCACTGTTAAATCTCCAAGGATTCTGGATTTCTTGGCAGTAAAACTTTGTTTTTCATCTTTTAACAGTCTGGAATGTAAACTACTTTCTAAAGATCATTATGTGAGGTATTTTAGCTTCTTTACAAACCCTTAAACTATAGCAATGGCTGGGTTTCCAGAAAGCAAAGTTGTAATGGATATAGATTTGGTGATGTGGGGAAGTGAGATAAAGCCAAAGGCTGCTGGTCAGTACCTGTTGATACTTCTGGATTACAGTGACTCACTTGGAATTATTCAGAGAACAGTTCCATAGGAAACTGGTCTACCGACGCAGAACCAATGCACTAGATTCCTCATTTGGGTCTTTCACTGCCTGGTGCAGATAAGGAACTCCCAGCAGCCCTGGAGGACTCTTCATGTATTCGTTCTCTGGGACAGTACCAACAGACATTACTATATGTACAAAGCAAAACACAGCTCTGCATTTTGTTTGCAAAGATCCCACATCTTCTTTATTAGGAGATTCTGTGGGCAACATGTACCAACACTGACAGATCTTATGTACTTTAGCATGATTTTATCCGCAGTCAAAATAAGTAGAGCAAGCATTTAACTGGTTTGCAGTAGGTTCCACTGCTTCATTTTAAAAACCGGTGCATCAAAAAAGTAATGCAGTACATGGCCACGTGTCACCTCTTTGTGTGTGCCAGTCTTGAATTTAGTCCTAGGTCTTCCTCAGGAACACAGCATGCGCAGTGGATGATGGTGCGGTTGAATGTAAATAATGGGACAAGCAGTCTGCCAGAGTCCTTCATAACTGGAATGTCAGTGTTATATAATATTACAGTGGTGCCTTTAAAAAATCATTTTATCTGATAGCCATGTAAAATGATTTTATTGTTGGAAATATTTCTTTGGTGTTTAGTTGGTGCCTTATGCTAAGACTGGGAATGTAGAATGGGGTTAACCCCAAGTTCGATAGATGAATATCCAAAGACTGTTGAGTGGGTTTCTGTGGTAAATGAAAATTGGATCTGACAAAGGTGGTGTTCCAGTGTAATTGAAATCGCAGACTAAATATATGGCCAGATATTTAAAGGTATGAGGATAGAAAAGGTTATTAGCTCAGTCATCATTGGCTGAACTTCAACAGCAAGATACATTGAACTTCTTTACCTACCAAAAGATCTGCAATTTAGCCAATCATGTAATCCAGCCCTGGAGCCAGATCGATGACCTCACATTTGTTTACTGCAGCAATGCAATAACACATCACTCCCTCCCATTCTGCTGACTGGATGATGGAGTATTACCTCATTGTTCAGATCTTTTTCTGCTGCTTGCAAGCTTCCAGTGTTAGATTGACAGCACCGTATGTCTGACTTGCTCACAGTTCTAGCTCTACCTCATCATCAGTCTAAATTCTGTGGTGCAGTGAATTACAAAAAAACTCTTTAAAGACCAATTTAGGTAGATTGCGTCTTGACAGATTCCCCTCCCTCAATGGTAGAAATATATATATCTCTAGGGCTGCCCCATTCCATAACTTCAAAACTGCATCCTATATTTCATAGAAGTTTCCATCTTGTAAATTGATAAGCAAGCTTTTGGACCATGTCCTCAGGCTAGGAACACCGCCTCAAGAATCCTCAAAATATATAGGTACTGCATGCAATATATACACAATATAACTCTAATTCATCACACCAAGCCGCATCAGGTGCATCCTGATATATTTACTCAGAAACAGAGGTCCAATTTTCATTTTGCATGAAAACCCCTTTAAACCTGCCAAGGGCTGCCTTCAGCACATAGGGGACTGGTTGGTTATGGGATTTACAATGTCCTGGCGACATGCTTTCTAAGAAAAGTCTAAAGAAGAACATTGCAATAATTATATTGATGCAAGGGGTGATTATCCAGTATGCAGAGGGCTACTCACCCTGCTTATCACTAGGATGCTGTACAGGCTGTGAATACTTAGTTCAGTTGCTCTGACAAGCAGCTGGATAGTGAGTGGCAGTGCGTGTGGCCTATTGGTTGAGGAGGGGTTTTGTTGGGGGGGGGGGTGCAGGACAGACCTTTTACATACACTATTCCCTTGGCTCAATATAATTATATTATTGGTTGTGGTTTGTTTGTTTTTTTCAATGGTTTTGAGCATCGTTTTAGCCTTTGTACTGCTGCGTTGGCCAACAAAAGAGTTACTAAAGTAATTGTGGATCTTATATATCTACATAAATGTATATTTTACAGGAATATCCTAATCAGTTATATTTTATACAGGGGAGTCACATTAGGTAAGGTGTAACATAATTTATGACTGTGCATTTTCTATAAAATAATTAGATTTCATTTTTGTTTGTACATATTGTATAACCTTATTGTTGTTTTAAAGGAAAATGTAGTATTGAAAGACAAGCTATGCCCCGCCCCAGCCCCTGCCTATTAACATAACCTGGCCTCAGAAGCAATGTACGCTGATCAGGTATCCATAGAACCACGGCCAACGTCCTCTTTGATTCAGTGCATGAGCTGTGCAGCTCCATAGGCTATAATGGGGCCCATGTATGCTATCACATATATGGTGTTGGGAGTCACCACTATAGCAAAGGGTGCATCTGAGGTCTGGCTGTTTTCAGGGCCTGGTATATTTCTTTTTCAATACTAAACTTCTCCTTTAAGAACTCATACTTAGCCATATATATAGCATGCATTTTTAGGCTTCAACAATGCTGTTTTTGCACTGAGCTAATATACGATTATGGCAAATCTCCATTCTGGCAGTTATCGCACTTTACTCTTGTTTTGTATAAACAAACACCTCTAAGGTGCTATTCTAGGGAAGAATTGTATATGGGCAAAGAAATGGTACCATAAGACTTCATGAGATGTATAGGGGGAAACTGCTTATATATTTTGGAATGTGACTATAATAACTTCAGCTAGGATTGTGGCCTAGTCCTGGTGTGAAAACTTTTTTTGTTTTTTGATTGGCTCAGTGAGGACGTTCTCCCCCAGTCATTAGACATATTGTTATCTTATGAATACCAATTCACCCAAACGAAATGGGGTTGCCTTCATGGTGCTTAGGTGACTGGTTCTCTTTAAGAGGACTCTATTTATATGTTCTTGTTTCTTAACTGCTCAGCATTGCAGTTTAGGGTAAACCGAAATTTCTTTGCATTCTATGCCAACTGTTTCAAATGTTCATTCTCTGTACATACACAAAATGTTTAGGTTTCCTGGAAACTTTAAGACCGCACGGACTTGTAAAGTGTCCGATCAGTTTAAAAAAATAAATAAATAAAAAATGTTAACAAGATAATTACAGATATGTTATGTCCCAATATAGCTTATTTATTTTTACAACTCGTTATCTTCATTTGGCTGTAGCTATCTTTTTTTGCACATCTACTGTACTTCCATAAGGAATAAAAAAACATTTTATAGACTTGTGTTTGTATTGAATTCTTAGAAGTAGACAAAGTCTATAGAAGACCTGCATTCCTTCACAAAAGAACTTGCAGTGCTAGTGGGACCTTGGCCTAAACCAATGGAGCTGATTTACTGAAGCAGTAGAGCATGATCACTTACCCAGTGAATAAGGTGAAGCTGGGCAACCAAAAACCATTTGTTTTTTCACATGATTGGGTATACTTTGCAACTTTTATTTTTTTACTTAGGTTCCTTTCAGACAGGGCAGACTCTGTGCCCGTCAGCAGGGGATCAGCTCACAGATCCCCTGCTGATCGGAGCAGAGCAGGTGGGTGACACATTTGTGTCCACTCGGTTTATGCAGAGCAGACATGGACAGAGCTCTTCTCTATGGTAGCCGGATATAAACGGACTCCACTGTCTGTTTAAACCCGACTGCCCACTGATCCCCTTCTGTGCTCTTTTAGCAGACTGGATCGGACCGAGAGGTAGGTGGGTGTAAACGGACCCATCTGTCCATAGGGTTGAATTGACCATTTGATCAGGTCTACCTGATTGGACCCGGCCTATAAAAGTGGCCTTAGTTTTACCTCGGGATAAACCCTCTGCACACTGCTATATACCCTTTTTAGCAAGCTTTGCTATGAAAAACAGGGATGGATTGTTCATACATATTGCATGTTTAAACTAGCCAACTGCATCAAAGTAATCCTCCTGGCCAGTCCTACTCTGCTCTGCCAATGCGAATGCTACTGTGGACACAATGCCAACATGGGGCTTTTGGGATCTTGTTTCTGTTGTATTTCGGGTCAGTGGTCAGACCTAAACCACGTAGCTCTCCCCCACTTTGTGTCTGTTTGCCCCATGTTGGCATTGTGTTTGCAGAGCAGAGTAAAAACTGACCAGGGGGGATTACTTTGATGCAGTTGGCCAGCTTAAACATGCATTGCAATATGTGTAAACAAAAAATCCCTGTTTTGCATAGCAAAGTTTGCTAAAAAGGGTAAATAGCAGTGTGCACGGGGTTGATCCAGAATTTCTAGTGTTAACTTGTGGTCACAATCCTCTAGCACCTGATAGATTATATGTATGTACAAGCTATTGGGATCTGAGCACAGGTATATCTTGTTTCTTTGTTTTACTTTTTCACTAAGCGAGTGCAAAAACCACTATGCAAATTTAATATGCTCCACTCATTTCTTAGAAAATTGCTTCAAAAACTTACTAAACAGTGAAATGCCCATGTGAGAAGCCTGCTGAGGAAGTGAACTTGAACCTGTGCAGCTTTCATTGAAGAAGTACAAAACCCAGGAGGCAGACACTGGATTTTAAATTTTTTTTGGAAAGTGAATGGAGGTAAAGAAATTGTCACTGTCATAATCGCTGTTGATTCTAGCAATTCTCCATTGGGTAAAGTGCATTTACAATTGCCTATTTTGGGTC